CCATTTATGGCCGATTTCAAAATCTATCTCCTCCTAGGGGGTAAGACGTACACTCCTGAAATTTGGCAAGCACAAACTACACGATGTGGTGATTAAAAGTTATCAAAACGCTCCGCAAAACTCTTTTCGTTTAGAAATGGCGGCCCGTCCAGTATTGATCAATGGCCATTTTGACCACTTTTTGGGGGTTTTCCACATTCAACGGGATGCAGTCAGAAGGCCATTTCATCTACACCTACAAGACTCAGTGGGCGTGTGTAGCAGGTCGGGACGCACACCGACTGTCTCAGTCGCACTCCAGCGAGAAGCGAGGACCCGACCAATGCCGCTTGCGGCTTTAATTTTCCTTGTTGCTCTATGGAAACACTGCCTGCAGTTCAACCTGATAACTCTGAATTTTTCAACGTTGGTCAAAGCTGAGTCAGTCATGATGGTTAGTTGTGGGGGTTTAGGATTATCTCTGCAGGCAGTGGAACCGGCTGTGAAAGTGTCAAAGTTCTGTAAAAGACAAACACATGAACTTTCCTGCATGAATGCGGGTTAAATGATTACCTGTGATCCAGTTTCCTCCTCACAGAATCTGCTGTTTAACCGCACAGTTCGAGGTATTCAAATATAAGCAAACAGTTTGCTGAAGACCAGGAAATATCCACAGTGAGATGTAAATGTGATAGTAACTGGTTTGAGTGATTTGCATAATGGTGACCTGATCCTCATTTTCTGGAGCGCCAACTGTTTGAAGAGCTCCACTGTGTGAAACTAATTAGCTCGGATTATTATCATGAGTTTATTCATGTTCAGGTTTTTACAAAGTAGATGCAAAATAGGAAGTTGTTCATTTATTGAACAATTGTATCCAAATTTGATGGTTCCTGAAGTGTTTTTCTTCTGCTAATAACAAAGAAGTGCTACTAACCTTCAAGTATAGAGACAGCAGATGTTAAGGTTCATGTAAAATACGCTGTTTAGCTGTAATCAAGAGCAGAATCACACGATCACATGATGCGTCCCGACCTGATGAGCTGCATCTCAAAGTTTGTTCATCAGGTGAAGCTGCAGTCACCTGAAGATGCTCTGATTGTGTCTTGGCTGCAGCTGGAGGAGCAGGAATAGGTTCATGTGCAGCTAAAGAGTTAATGAGGTGAGTTTACCTCA